CAAGAACGATAGCAATTGCATTATAATTGATGGTTGTCTCCGCAACCCAGAAATCTTTGGGAGGTCGAAGAGGCAGAGGCGGAGGCGGAGGAGGAGGAGTAGATGGGCGCCTGCCTCTCGAGCGCCACCCAAGTTAGCAGCCGGAATAAGGCCACGGCTGTCGCAGCCGCCGCCGCCGCCGCCGAGGGGAAACATGGCCAGCCTGGGGCGAAGAACGAGCAGCAGAAGCAGAAGCCGAGGGCCCGAAACTGCGGGAAACTGAAAGCGGTAGCCCGCCTGTCGTGCGGGAGAAGGACGAACTTTGGCTACGAAAGGGATTTCGAGCGCAGGTATTCGATCGGGAAGCTTCTCGGCCATGGGCAATTTGGGTACACCTTCGTGGCCACCGATAAGGCCAACGGGGATCGGGTGGCGGTGAAGAGGATCGACAAGAACAAGGTATTTAGGCCACGAGAATCTTCGCTTGCTTGATGCAATGCAAAGCTTTGATTAGGGTTTCATCCGCAGTTGATAATTGGCTTCTCCTCTTTTCACAGAGTAGGGGAAATTATATTTTTAATACCTTCTCTGTGTTTTTGTTTTTTCATATGTTTTTTCTATTTTTTTCTTTACTTTTCAAATCAGAATCGGAAATGAATAGTCACAATAATGCATAATTTAATTCAATAAGGTTTTAGTATTGGACTAATGCAAAATACACATTCCATTGTGCATAAGATGTGCCAGGTTAGCAATTTCAGTGTGTTGGAAGCTTTACAGAATTGCATTGATGCTATTTATTATAACCTGTGTAGTCTAATAGCCCAATGAGTTGTATTTCCGTGAATCTTGATCAATATATGTTATCCTAAGTGGTTAGTAGTAAGTTTGTTAAGTCATATACATAAATCCACCTTTTACTATTTGCAATGTTAGACTGTATAGGTACAAGATTGTTATGGCATTTCAATAATCCAGCTTTGGGAAATAAGGAAACCATGGTTGCATATAAATGATTTGATGAACTTACTACTAATTTGTGTTGACATTTTTGGACCGAGTGGCTTAAGCGGCAAGGTCCTCTACACAAACCTGCATTTTGAAGCATGGCCATGTGCCTGTGATTTTACTACTCGGTATTACTGAAACCGTTATTGCAATATATTCAATAGTAGTCAACATCAGAGAACATCTAAATTTCTGCCAAGTAATTGACAATGGATATACTTGAATATTTTGGCAGATGATCCTTCCCGTTGCTGTAGAGGATGTTAAGCGTGAAGTCAAGATACTGAAAGCCCTAAAAGGACATGAAAATGTTGTCCACTTCTACAATGCCTTTGAAGATGACTCTTATGTCTATATAGTCATGGAGTAAGTTTCTTTGCTGTATCATGAACTATTTTTCCACGGAAGCTGCACTTAGAAGCCATCTATAGGTTTATTTCATTGTTCAATCATTTGGAGAATGAATATATGTTTTGCACTTTTAGAATTTTGATGTAATTATTCATATAGAACTTTTTGGTTTATATAATATCTAAGTTTTGCTAGTGTGGTTGAAATTTTGCTAATATAATGCTCATAGTATAATTTTATATTGTTAATCTGGACACAAATCCCTAAGAGGGTAGTTGTAATTGTAAGTATGCATCAAGATATAAAAGTGTAATTCTTTTTTTTGAAAATTTATGGAACTCAAATAATCTCTGATTTATTGTGGAAATCTGAACATGGATAATGTACATGTTGAATCTAGATTTAAAGGTTTCATTGTTGAGTCTACTTCAAGTTTATAGCTTGTGTCAAGTTGGTTCGGTCAAAGTGTCATTTTACATTATTTAAGATTTTTTCCAAATTCATAGTTCTACCAAAGACTGAATTGGTTAGAATTAGTATCTTTTGTTAGGAAGTACCATCAAGTACCAAAAATGTTGTTGTATTATTATATTTATATGCTTGTCACCTTCTTCTGGGCTTCTTCCTAAATTTAGTTTAATGTTCACAAATCATATTCATGTCCGACCTCCCTCTCTGTTGGCGAATTGACATCAGATCCTGTACTTCTTTGTTTACTGTGAGGACCGTCTAATAAGTCTGAAGTTCTTGCTTTTCAAATTCAAATCTCTGCGGCTCCTTTTGAAGCTCCGAAAGGGTGAAAGCAGCAAATCACTTTCTCTCCATATTATCAGGAGTAAGTTTTTTGAGTTCTAGGATATGTCTAGTTTTGTTGTATCCAGAGACTCAGTAATCAGGTGATGCCACAAAAGAAAGAAAAGAATTAATGGGTTTTAGCTGTTGTGTCCATGATGATTGAGGGCAAGTTTTTGCACCACAATAAGGTTTCTCCTTTACAACATAAGTGAATACGGTTCAAGTGACAGAAACATCCTCTATGTTTCGCAAGAGTTATCATGCAGTGGTCATCTTTTTTTTTTCATATTTAATAAAGCAACTAGATGGGCATGTGATTAGGATAATTTTGTATAGTTCTTGTTGTTTGTCTCAGTGCTGAAAAAGCGAAACATAGGATTGCTATTTGCATTTTCTTTAACTGCTAGAATTTTTTGTTTTGTTCCTATTATTAGGCAATTAGATCATGATGAATTTTGATGTATTTTTATTATATTTAAATATATGATGTGAACCTGATCCTGCTAGAACTATGGGTAATTTCAGTTTCAGTAACTGCTAAAATTTTGCCTTCTTTTTTTCCTAAGCAATAATCTAATGTTAAGTTCTGGGGTGTGTGTCCTTACTAGATTATGCGAGGGTGGTGAACTTCTTGATCGGATATTGGCCAAGTAAGATATTCAAGTTTTTTTTACCTGTTGATCCTGAAAACAATTTCTTTTGAGTTTAAATGGGGAAAGAGATATCTTATTCCTCATAATAATCCGGCTCGTGTTCTTCTGTTGTTCATATATTTGCTAATCTATCTCGAGAGTTTTCTGTATGGAGATTGGCTTTTGAACTAATCATATTCCGACTGAATCTTCTTTACAGAAAAGAGAGCCGTTACACAGAGAAAGATGCTGCAGTGGTAGTACGACAGATGCTTAAAGTTGCAGCTGAGTGCCATTTGCATGGTCTGGTTCATCGAGACATGAAACCAGAGGTAAATTCAAACATTAATTGTGTGTATTGGAACACAGATCCATAACATCTTTAAGTTTGCTTTCTATGTAGTGTTATAAAAACAGAGGCATCGTGACAGATATTTTTTCTTTTGATAATTACAGAACTTCCTTTTTAAATCTACAAAAGAGGATTGTCCTCTGAAGGCAACAGATTTTGGCCTGTCAGACTTTATAAGGCCAGGTGTGTCAAGTGTAGCTTGCTCATGTAACGTAAATACTGGACAAGTGAAAAGATGAACTAGCTTTAACTGATGTTATCACTTGTTGCAGGAAAGAAATTTCATGATATTGTTGGCAGTGCATATTATGTTGCTCCCGAGGTACTGAAACGGAGGTCTGGGCCTGAGTCAGATGTTTGGAGCATAGGTGTCATAACCTACATTTTGCTTTGTGGACGGCGTCCCTTTTGGGATAAAACTGAAGATGGAATATATAAGGAGGTACCATCCTTTGTGTTTTTAGGATAGAAATCGTGTTATAAAACCCTTTCTTTGCCAGATTTTCAGGTTTACAATTATATTTTCTTATTGAAATGCAAGTGTGACCATTCTTCTAGTATACTGCTAAAAGAGCCTATGGTTGTTTGACTTATTTCTAAAAACCTATTATAATATTATTCACAAACAATTTATCAAAATAACTTTCATGTGCTTCTTTAATTTTAACACTTCAGGGTTTAAAAATGCTTTCCACAATTAACTGTTAGTGCCTCTAGGTAGCTGGCATATCCTGATATTTGTACTTGCACCCATTATGGCATCACTTAGTCAAATCATTTTCTTGGTAACTTATCGCCTTCATCTTTACCTAAATAAAATCTCCATCTTGAGTTATGCTCCTTGTACCAAATTTTGATCCAAGCATATGGGTTTCTATTCAACATTTCTTTCAGCTCACTAACCTTTGACACTTTGCTATTCGGGTCTTTGAAAACTGTGATAATGGGTTTTATTTATAACTGGTACTTACAGAACCAGTTCAAATGCTTTTATTATTCTCGCATATTCTTGACAAATATAGTGTAAAAAATCATTATTACTTTTAGTTTACTGTTTCTATATGGATGCAAGAGCAATAATATCATTCTATACGATGATTGTCTGTAGGTGTTAAGAACCGAGCCTGATTTTCGACGAAAGCCATGGCCAAACATAAGTGAGAGTGCCAAAGATTTTGTTAAGAAGTTATTGGTTAAGGATCCACGTGCAAGACTAACTGCTGCTCAGGCTTTGTGTATGTACCAAGTTTGACCCCCTCTTCAACTAACTAAATGAATGCCATGGGTTGCCGATAATATTCATATGACAACATTACCCGCTATTGTTTCTATTCTTTTTTCTTATTTTATACTATACTGTGAGGACATGGATAAGAATGATCTTTGTAATTCACTTCACTAGTTCTGTTTTTCCTACCGCACCTTTTATCTGATTTTGCTTCCTGATATTCTTGTTGTGGTTTGACAAAAGCTTTGTTTTATTTTGCAGCACATCCATGGGCAAGAGAAGGGGGAGATGCATTAGAAATTCCACTGGATATATCTGTGTTGTCTAACATGCGCCAGTTTGTAAAGTACAGTCGGTTTAAGCAGTTTGCGCTCAGGGTAAATAAATTTGATGCTATTAGCAAATACGTTGATGCGATGCCTTTTCCCATGCATTGCAAATTGCTTATTTGGAACCTGAATTATACCATGGCATATGCAGGCACTAGCAAGTACTCTTAATGAGGAGGAGCTGGCTGATCTCAAAGATCAGTTTCACGCAATTGATGTTGATAAAAGTGGTGCAATCAGTCTTGAAGAAATGAGACATGTATTTTACTTGACACTCGGTATCAGAAATCTTGAACTTCTTTTTTAAATGAAGAATATCATAATGATATTATGAAAATATGCTTCCTTTCATTCAAGAGATTTCACCTATCATTAACTAATCACGTACATGCTTTTATCATGAAATTTTGTTCATTACTGTCGTTCTGGATTGTATGTTTCACTCTTTCTTTATTTAATGATTCAAGAAAGATCTTTAGATACTGCCATTTGATTCTATCAATTCATTGCTAGAAAAGCTTGCATTGTCAGCATTACTCTTGGCAGGGTTTTATTTTTAAAATGTAGCTAGTATTATTAAACAAAATATTCAGCCATTCAATTTTGAATGCAATTGCTAAAACATGATGCTTGATTACTTAGCTATGATTTTTACCATCAAACTCATCTTGCCCTTTCTGTTAGCACAAACAGCTAACGTATGTAATTTTTCCTGAATGTTCTCTTCACTAGCTTGGCCCCCCGGTTCAGCCAGGTTATTCTATCGGGCCATCCCTGCAGATAGGTGAATTGACTGATTTTTGAAGTAATTTGGAACTTTACATAACCTTGGAAGGTTTTCTTTCCTGTTCCTCTTTATTAGTATGATTTCAACTAGCCACTTGGTGGTTTTGAGTGGTTCGGCCCACCTGGGTTTCCACATATCTATTGTTGAATACTTCCTCATGATATCTCCCTAGTTGTAGGTGATCTGTACCAAAAGTACGTGCATTGGGTTGATTGGTCATGCTGATCAGATAGTTTAACCTGCTAGATTTTTTGTTTAAACTTTGAACTTTTTTAATGAACAGTCCTGGACTTGTTGTGCGTCCACCATCTGTGTTACTTAGATTTTTTTTCTGTTGGAGCTTGATCAAAGTTAGTCTGTTTTATGACTATTAGTAGCAGTTAATCTGTAGTTAGTTATTATCCTCTTCTTATTATATGCAAGAATTGTTTAAACATTGGTTAAACATTTTTTTGTTTTTAGATTGGTTGACTTTTTTTTTGTTTAAACATTGGTTACAATTACACATTTAATTGTAACCAATGTTATGTGTATTATGTCAACACCATGAGTCATGGTAATTGTTGTGCAGGCTCTTGCTAAAGATCTTCCTTGGAAATTGAAGGAGCCTTGCGTTTCAGAGATTGTTCAAGCGGTAGGCTACAATCTTTAATAAACTTCTTGTCCTGCTGTTACTCACTTGTTAAACTGTTTGCTTTTTTTTTATTTCTTATCAATTGCTGAAGGTTTCTTGATATTTGCTTTTGCTAACCAAATGGAGTGATATCTCAAGAATGTTGGTGGCAGTTATTTTGCTGCTCCTTCTCTAGACAATACCTAAGAAATTTAAGCAAATTATTGTATAGTCTAATCTTTCCATCATTTCCTTGTAATATGGATTCTTCCCATAACAAGCAAAAGATTGAAGAATTCCAGAAATGCTATTCAAAGTAACTTAAACAAGTGTTTATTATGATTTCTAGCTTCTCAGTCACATCGGAAGTTAGTTTGGTGGCATTCTTCTGTACTTTAAATTGGAAGAAACGTATACCACTGGGGATTTAATCTTTTTTACATGATTTTCTGCTAATATTCCTATCAATTTTGTTGTATGCTTGCTTTTGCTTAAGTGATTGTCGACGTGTATCTGGATACCAACAACTCTTTTCCTCCTTTGGTATTGGAATTATAAGAGTCGATACTATTCTTCTGGAGCAGATGGACAGCAACACAGATGGATTTATCGACTTTGAGGAATTTGTGGCAGCTACTTTACATGTGCATCAATTGGTTGAGCATGACAATGGAAAGTGGCGCTCACTTACAAAGGCTGCTTTCGATAAGTTCGACGTGGACAAGAATGGATATATCACACCTGACGAACTTCGAATGGTACAATTTCTTGTGAATCTTTTTTGGTTCTGAATGCGTGCTTTTCTATTCCAGCAATAGTTTGTAGCCTGTTTTTCTTGCTCAGCAACATTGAATATTGAGATCATATCAACCTTGAGCCGCATTAACTTCACATACACCATAGTTAATATTTGCTTGAGGATTAGAATCTAACAATTTTTCGATAACTACAGCACACAGGTCTAAAGGGCTCCATCGATCCACTATTAGAGGAGGTTGACATCGACAAGGATGGGAAAATAAGCTTGGACGAATTCCGCAGACTTCTAAAAACCGCAAGCATGAAACCCCGCAGCGTGCCTCGTCAATCTACTACTCGTGATCGTCGGAAGTTATGCTCATGAAGAACGGAGAAACTTTTGTCAACGGGGATGGAGAGGTATAAGCAAGTCTTCTGGTGCTTTACATGACTTGTCAGATGCACCTTCTTTCATGTGTCTCTCAGGCAACCAAGAAACCTTTCATGGATCAGAGTTTTGTCATTTGGAAGAGAGCAACCAAACTTTTGTTGAGGACTCAAAAGACTCCAGTTTCAGATCAAGTTTCCAACACTACTAATTGCAACTTGAATGCTGCTGGTGTGGGTGGTGGTGGCTCACTTGTTCTCTTGTCAAGTTTGACCAAAAATGTCATGTATCATCATGTGTCACATTAATGCAAATATGTAACCACAACAGTACCTGTTTCTTCACTAAACAAGTATTTGTACTTTTTTTTCTTCTGTTCCAAGCATTAATTATTTCTCAATCTCTTTCTCACAATTAATTTTCATTCTCATATGGACTGAGCAAGAGAATCTATCCATAACAAATGGCTATGTCAGCTCATACTCACCATTTTATTCAAATGTTTATTACTCCAATTGTTGATATTATGAAGAAATGCACATCAAATTTTACAATATATAATGAGTAGCATAATGTGTTTCAAATTTTCTACACGGTAACTACACCGAAGGTCTCCGTATCCTCATTTCAAGTGCGGTACGGGATCGGGTCGGATCGATCTTGAGAGGTAGACGCGGTTCATCTTACGAGTTCTTACCGGTTTTGGACGACTTGGTGGGGCTCCGCTCACGTTCGGTGAGAACATGAACACGGAAAACGAAGGATTTGATGCTTTTTTGCCCAGTTTCGTCGTCTAAGTGGTACGCGGTAAGCTCAACATAGTTTCCGTACCCTCGTTTCGAGGGTGGGGTCAGGTCGAGCCTTGTTACCTGCCATGTCAGCCTTATGATTCGAGCGCAGACACGTGTCATCTTACGAGCTCATCTACATGCTACGTGGGCTCCTTAAGAGTATTATCTTAGAATTCTGCTCACTTCCGGTGACGATAGGAAGGTGAAAACAGAGGATTTGACGCCCAAAGAAATATTTTTTGGGCCCTTTTTTGTCATCAAGTGTTGTACGGTAACCTCACGAGAGTTCTCCCAAGTGTGGCAGCGGTCGGGTCGAGCCTGGTGACCCGACAGTTGCTTTAAGATTCGTGCTCGAGAAACCGCACCGGAGGACCATGTTCCGATTCAGGTCACCGTAGGTGGGTATAGGAACACAGAAAACGAAAGATTTTACAACAAAAAAATAATTTTGGCCCATTTTGTCATCTAAGCGGCATTCGGTAAGCTCGCCGACGGTCTATGCACCCTCGGTTTAGGTTGGTTGGAGTTGGGTGGGGTCGAACGGCCATGTCATTTTTCTCCCTTTCCTATAATGATAATTAATTATATGTAATTATAATTATTTTCTTATTGTTAAGCCTTCTTCCCGCTCCTCCGTCCCCACCGCCCGTCCACCACCTCCACTGCCAGCCGCCGCCGGCTTCTCCTCCGTAACCGAGCTGGGAGACGGAGAGCACGGATCGGAAGCCGGACACGACGGTGATGGATGGGGCCAATTCCGGCCGACGACGGCAAACGGTGGGACGAGGTAGCTTTGGACGGCGGACGCGGTAGCCGACGGGAGGCAGCACCCTGGGACAGGAAGGGAACGGAGGCGAGGGAGAGTGGACGCCGACGGCTGAATGGACTATGGAGAAGAAAGAAGACGGCGGTTGAATGGACTATGGAGAAGAAAGAAGACGAGGTCGTTGTACCCGTCTTCCTCGCTTAAGTCCCCTCACTAGAAGTGAGAATAAGAAAACGGGAAAACGAAGAATTCCCTCCCAAAAAGGATCTTTTTGGGGTTGTTTTGTCCTCGAGTGACAAGGAGGTTACCTCACCGAAAGGTCTCCGTTTGTGACAAGAAAGTAGCGTTTAACAAAAAAAAAAAAAAACAAGAGGAAATAAATTGTGTAAACATTATTTTTGGGATCAGTTTATCGTTTCCACCTCTCTCCAGAAAAAGATAAGGAAAAAACTAAAGGATTTGCGCTTTCCATCCCTCGATTCCGTTCACCCACTTGTGAGAATAAGAGACGAAAACGTATCCTCAACCTCGCTACGTCGTCGTCGTTTCTGCCCACTATCCGTGACGACGAGGAGCCAACGGCGAGAAGAACAAGCCTTTTAAAGGTCATTTTGGCACCCATAACAAAAACCATACTATTTATTCGAATAAGTTTGGCAAAAATACCTTCCATGGTGATGATAGTTCCAATCAACCAGTTCGAATCACCACGGTTCCAACAAAACATGTACATAATTCTGGTACACACCACGAAACCACAAGTCAAGTCAGTGTCCTATGATAGCCATCCTTTGGATTTTTAAAACTCCAGCAGAAAGCCATCAAGTAGATGAGAGATTGAGATAAGAAACAATAACAGGTGATTCAAGAAACCAGATGAATACTCACTTATTATATGGATAGGGAAACGTTACATCATCTGATGTTTTCAATTAATTATTTATCAAGAAATAAATGGTTTCGTCGCGATCATATCATAATGCAAGGAAACTACGACCCATCTGTCGTTATGATACGCTCGTGGAACGAGAACACATCACGGTTTTACATTTGTCTCCCGAGCAAGACAGAAGAACAAGAATTGCTAAATTCCAGCAGAAATCTACATATTAAGCAACAAGATCAAAACCACTCTTTTCAATCTTCCTCATCGGTAAGCAGTGCGAATGAGAATGGGGCGAACTTGTATCCATCTCCCTCGTAGAACTTGTTCTGGAACTCCACCCAGTGAAGCCTCAATGCGTGCAAGAATGCACTTAATGTTTCCATCACAAGTAGAACACCGATGGTAGCACAGACGAACACGACGATGCCAATGATGAGAATGGCGATATTGTTGAATCTGATCCACAGCCAGCTCCTTCAGTCAAAGCACAGTGGGCATACAAGCAACTAAATATCAACTACAGAGTAGAGGGACTTACCCCCAAGCAAGAAGAAGAACCTTCTCGTAGAACACACTAGACAGTTCTGAATGGGCAAGACTGCAAAAAAGAGACAGATTATCAACATGAGTAGGTTACCTGCCCAGACACAAGAAAAAAGCATTTGCTCAACTCTATTAAAGGCAAATCTCCTATAGTACTACTACGAGAATCATATCTTCTGACAATTTACTAAGTTGACTTAAGGCTCTATCATCAGCGCAGATGATCATCTTTGGACACATCCATCTGACCTTAGAAAATGTACTCACACGTCTCTTCGACACACTGGATTCTTATTATTAATTATTCCTCATAATGGTACTCACACCGAGCTCAACATACTCATCCCAGACAGTTAATACCAATGCAATTATTTTCCTAGATGCGAGCATTCTTACTTGTACACAGCAAAATGTCTTTAAACTCAAGAAAATTATGACAGAAACAATAGCTGCAGTATCCATTTGAAACTCTAATTATTTGTTCATAATGATAGAATGTGAGAATAGCGACAGTATTTCTTAAGCAATCTATTTTACCTCACCTATCATTTCCTAAACTAGTGTTGTTAAATTTAAAAAGCATTTTATACCTCACACTAGAAATCTTAGTTTATAACATAAATCAGTAGTGCAAGATTAAAATCTGCTTTAATCTCTGTAGTTCTAGACTAAAGCAGCAGAGCAAGAGCCAAATCTGACAATTAGTGCAGATAAAATGGAATATAACACCATCATCGGTGAAGAATAAGTTGAGAACAGTCATCGTTTAACCAAATCAAAACAGCGAAATTCATGTGAAAAATGATGCATGACGAGTGATGAAGAAAACTTGCAGCCACATCATGGCAAAGGTCAGGATCATTACTTGGGCGAACTAACATGGAATGTCCTATTGTGATGTGTATACCTGAGGGCCCATAGACGAAGATATGATGCAGTATTCGAGACTGCTCCAAGGACAAATTCTATAGTGTGTATCAGTTGGTGGACAAAAACTTCACTGAACTCAAACTCCTCATGGTCATGTGAATCATGATCTTCCTCAATCTCTAGTGACTCTTCGGTGTTATGGAGCATGGTGTATGATTGACCTTGGTGTCTCTGAATTATCAAAAAATACAAATAATCAGAACAAGCAAAAAAAAAAAACAGAACAAGAGACTAGGGAAATTTTCAAAATACCTCATTGTGTTGCTTCCTCAAAAGAATGGGCTTTGGAAATAGCATCCAGGGAACTGAAATAAGGGCCAGAAGGAGCAACACAAGCTGGAAACACAATGAAAAATAATTAGTATTCATTCATCCAAACTGGGAACTTGGTGAGTATGTTGGCCAACATGAAGATAACAGGAAAGTGAAATGCAAAGGACTAACCTGAAGTGTTTTCTGACCAGGAAATAGCTGGTTCTCACCTAAATCATCAGTTGGACTAAGAAACATGTATATCATTACATGGTACAGATCTGCTTGTGATCCAGTACACCATTTTACAATTATGAGGAGTGAAAGGTATCCGAACAAACTGTTCAAAAAGATCAACTGCGGAATGAACTGATACCTGAAACAAAATTAATAGGCAGAGGAAGGAAAATTAGAAGACTATTAACCAGAAATAGTGATGACTACAAAATCAATTTTTAGTCACCAACAGGATCTTTCTAGCACAGATTTTATCACTAGGTACACTTTGGAGCTAATATTAATTTTGCATTATAGAAGTGACATAACTACTGATAAGTCCTAGTCTAATATACCTCATTATCCTAAAACTTTGCTTACACTCTTGTAATGGTAAAAATTAAATTCAACAATGCAATAAAAATCCTGATATCAAGATACAACATGCAAAGATCTTGCACATAAGCTGTATTATTTAAGAACACAACGGTAAATGTTTCGTACAAAATAAAAAGATTTCAAATTTTCTGTCAAGATTGGTAGCAAGAGGGTGCTATCTCTGTTAGATATTTACAGTTATACTGGTCTGCAAACATAATCTGACAACCTTCCCAAAGGTGGCAAAACATGACGACATTTTTAGCACTACGGTAAAGATTGCTGGCATACTGAATTTTCAATTTGAGTAATAGACATCAAAAAGTCAACAAACATGTCAAAAGTCCTTTTGATTTCATATATCAAAATAGAAATCACCTAAAACTAGTGAGAAAATCACTATAAGATGACTTGTAAAGGCAATAACACTACTAATTGCTAATAAATATTCAGATACATACAAAGATAGCGAGTGTTGAATTATTGATTCACACTACAAGTTACACACACCTTAAAGACAACTGAAATAAGAAATTACCAGGTATTGATACTGTTACTGAAGAACTTTGCATTGAAATAACTCAAAATAATGCCAAGGTTCATTTGTGCGACTCCAAGAAGGATAGACATCTTCATCTTCAACGAGTTAAGGAATGGTAACTCACTTCTGCTGCCATGCCATTTGGGATCCACACCAAATGGGTAGGCTTCTCTCACTTTAACCAAGCCTTCTGTAGTAGCATCCCTATTAACAGGAACAATAATCACCATATGATTTCAAATTAAATAAATGGAGAGCTAACTGCATGATGACATACCTGCATGAAAGATCACGACATGCATAGGCAGATCGACCAAACATCTCAAATGGGACAGAGAAGAATTCATTGTAGATCAGTCCAGTGTAAATTGAGAATAATGCCATCATCAAAATCACATAACGGCCACCAAACATCATCTCCATAATGTCACCAAGTTTCTGCACAAAATAAAAGACTTAATTCCCTGTGCTAAAGCAGTTTCTAGAAGTTGGCTAGACAGAACAGTAAATCTAAAGATATCAAGAAACAAGATCATGAATGATGGTGTGACTAGAAACAGGGTTTTAGGCTAACAAAAGAATGAATAGAAGGGCAAAGCCAATGCACTAGGCTACCGGAGAGGGTCAACACGTGGTTTTACCCTCTATGAGTAAAGAGATTGTTTCCGTAACTCAAGGACTAGTCACCCAAGTAACAAAGAAGCAACTTTACCAATGTATTAAGACTCGTCCTGTAAAAAAAATAATGTGCTTCAAAAAGAAAACACCAGAAAATACCGTGAGAGCATACTAGGATACCATGACACCAGATGCATTTTTTAACAGAAGAACGAATTCAAATAATGAATTCAATAAAAATACACAGCCAGCAGTGGTCAATAGACTCAATAGAGAACTATATACAAATTACGATCAGTAGATCTAAATCCTGGGAAATCTCATTTATGTGCATAACAAGATAAGACTAGCAACATTAACATAGCAAAATCCTACTGGCATAAATCGAAAGTTCAATATTGCTAGATACAAGCTTGTGTAGGTGAAATGGACTAAAGGTTATAGACATTAGACTAGCAGCATTACCATTACCCGATGTCCTTGTCAAAAAAATTTAGTGTTCATTTCTGCTAGATATGTAGGTGAAATAGACCAAATATTCTACATACAGTGTGACTTGTTCATTGCTGGTTAGGTTCAACAACAAATTGAAGTCCATCGATACAGACCTATATATACATTGTTATTGGCTTGTCCCCGGGTGAACAAACCTAATGAATTGTGACAGACCTGGTTCATTCATTCCAAATCAACTGCATTAGACAGGATCCTTTGATCCTCATTACCAGGAAATGAGTTACCCCTTCTGCGTATACATAACCTGGACTTTGTTGTGTGAAACCCATGATTCCAAACAAGAAGCTTCCTCTGTGCTAGGAAAGATGCAAATTAGAGAAACATGGGTACTGAAATTCCAATTTTAACAGTACCAGCAAATGAAGAGTAGAATGTGCTAAAGATTGAGGTCAAAGAGTCAAATGTTAAAGACTCGATAGTTTTTGCATTAGAAAATATTGTCGAGCAAGATCTGATATAAGAACCCAAAAAAGAACAATAAAACAAACTCACAAGGAATAATCTACCAAAAGGGTGATTGACAGAAAGCTCAAGCCAAGTTTTCAATATCCTTTTTTAGAAAGGGACAAACTCAGTGCAGGCTCCTGCTAACGCGGAATGCAGGGAGGGTCACCATCAAAAATAGTATTTAATTTAATAGAGCTTCATATTCAGCTTTACAAAATCAAAAGTTGATAATAGAAAATCTTTCTTTTGATGACTGTCGAGGAAGGGTGTTACAAAAAATAATATATGCAAATTACAAGCAGATATTCATCCAACAGTGTCTAGAAAAGCTTCCTGCAGACTCAAATTTTCTAGTGAGTCAGATAAATATTGATCATAAAACATTCTTAAAGAAAACTTTAGCCAATAGACAAGCTCGTATAGAAAGTTCCAACATATATATATATATATATATATATATATATATATATATATATATATATATATATATATATATGTATATGTATGTATATATGTATATGTATATGTATATATGTATGTATACATATACATATGTATACATATATATGTATGTATATATGTATACATACATATAGATACATATATATATGTATATGTATATGTATATATGTATGTATACATATACATATATATACATATATATAATATACGATCGTGATTCTGAATTGTGAATCTTGGTTCACATTCTACCATCGAAACCTCAAGATGAAGCTTTAAACTAGATACTAGTTTGAGACCCCATACAAAAGAACTCATAATATAGCTTCAGTCTAAACACAATTTCTTTAGCTATCCGATTTTTGAATTCCTATATAGTGTAGAAGGAAAAAACTTAAAAGACACTTTTCTAAAGAATCATTTGAAGAAACAGCAAAATAAATGCATAACTCTGCCAATTGCAAGGCCTCCTTAAGGATAAAACTCTTTATAAATTATCCTTTATATGTAAATATACTGGTAAATTTCTTTCCTTCCATAAAAGCATCAGAGAGAACTTTAATTTTATAGTAAAAAAAATCAAAAAAATCAGCAATTTATGTTAGCACGAGAGAGACAATCATCCAACACAAGTATCTTTCAAGTTTTAATTCAAATATTAAATGAACATGATTATCAGGTGTTATTCAGGATGCTGCTTCAAGTTTGTAGATGTAGATAATGAAATGTGGCAGTATAACAGTTTGATTGTCAAACTCCACACAAATATAAGCGACCAAACATGACAAGAAAAAAAAAATTGAGAACTAGAATTGTGTAAATTTAGTATCACAAGTACATGTTAAAATATCCGATGATCATTGGATACCTTTGAGATATTATTCATAGAGTGAAAACAGGATGATTAAGATGGCGAGGGGCATCAGGAGTCTTATGTGACTATCGGATACCTTTGAGATTAAAAGAAAAATTTTATAAGATCGTTATGAGACCAACAATGCTTTATAGATCCGAGTGTTAGGCAACTATGAAACAACATACACAAAAGGTTTGTGTTATCGAGATAAGAATATTAAAATAGATATGCGCAATTACTAGGAAAGACAGGAAAAGAAATACTTTTATTCGTAAGCAACTAGGTATTGCTTTGATAGAGAATAAGATGAAAGAAAATCATTTAAGATAATATGGGCATGTGCTTAGGAGATCTCAAGATTCAGTTCTTAGAAAAGGTAAAATGATTAATGTTAATGATATGAGGAGAGGTAGAGGAAGACTTAAAAAGACTTTAATAAAAACTATAAATAAAGATCTAAGTATTCTAAACTTAACTAGACATACAACTTTTATAGTTCTCAATGGCGATAAAAGATCCATATAGCCGACCCCAAATAATTGGGATTTACGGCTTTATTGTTGTTGTTGTTGTTGGTACATGTTAAAATACTTTACACCCACAATTGCCAATTTAAGAAAACAACAAAAGAAAGAATTTAAGAACAGAAAAAGAGAAATTAGAAAGTTCTAAAACTAAAGCATGTAAACAAATGCTAGAAGAGGTGAGAGCTCACTTGAGAAGATAGTTTCTTTTCTCGGAATATAAGCATCAACGTTGCAAGTAATAAGCACATACCATGACCCCAGTCACCAAACATGACCGCAAACAAGAAAGGAAATGTAACAATAGTGTAGACACCAGGATTTGCCTCTTGGTATTTAGCAATCCTGCAAATATGCATGAACTTTAAGATTCGAATGGCAAGTAATAAACACCAAAATTTATGCTCTTAGGTGGTTCACAACTTCACATTCCACTGTTCCAATGTCGTATGATAAAACAAAATAAAAAAACTTCTAGAAACACGGAGCATCTTTACTGTATAAAGAAAAGCGCCAATCAAGTAACGATGGTAGGAAAAGAAACATGAAAGCAAGATTTATTTGACCATTCTATGCTAATCCATCCTGCATGCTGGACCCCATCATGAAAATGCACATACGACCAAAAATCACTGTGCTGGTCTGTCCAGTGCATGCAGCAACAGGCACATACTGGCATGGACCAGCAGTGATAACATATGTGAAGGTCTGTTCGGTGCATGCAGCAACAGGCACACATACTGGCATGGGCAAGCACCGATAACATATGTGAAGACAGACTGCAGTCTAGACCTAGCTTAAGGCACTCGTAGCCCATGACTTGATCAGAAGGATTCATGAACCACGAAATTCAAAAAGAATAGATACTCTCCATGCAAAAGAAATAGCACAAGAAAAGAAAAGCCAAGCATTTAATCAATCAACTATCGAAATTAAAAAAATAATATGTACAAAAAAAATTCAGTACAAAAGGTATGACTACTAAGATTAGTTAACCATGTTAGAGGCTTATTACAATGATATTCAAACATCATTTTCCATCTCATCTTGCATACTCCTTTGTGTATTGGTCCTCCACTAACTAGTGGATTGATATTGCAATATGTTGTTCAGGGTCGATCTGCACAAGCTCTCAAGAAAGTTCAAATCAATCCACAAACTACAATGTAGAATCAGTCCTGAAACCAGCAGCAATATTAGACCATAACAAAGCTGCCATGACAGACACATCTACAAAACTCTAGAAGATGAAGTAACCTCAGAATTAGCAAGCTTAACGCATGTGTCGTCATGCTATACCTCGATCCTTGTCATATCCGTCTAAAATAAATAAATTGAATTTTGAAGACTGACACCCCATATGGGCAATACCTATCAAATCCAGGTTCTACAACCTAAAAAGTGATAAAAACATAAAACTACATTCTTATACTTGTTTGTTGTACAAGATGAGTAACTTCATAAGACAATTGTGTATAAATTGGAACCCTAGAAAAGAAGAAACACAATGTACCTAAAATCAAAATGATAATTTATAATCGATATTAAAAGCCAAAGAAAAAAAATGAAAATTAACGTAGAATTAATTAAATTCTTGTAGATTTCTCCCCTTGCAACCACCGATTTGCAATAAGAATTGTGGTTCAAATAGAGGACGAGGAAAAAAATGTTAACATTTAAGATGTCAATCACGTTCAAAAGAGAATAGATGTCATGGTTGAAGATGGTAAGTTAGATAAGCATTACTGACATATGAAGAAGTCGAGGAGCATCTCAAAAAAACCTACTAGTAACAAGAAATGGAGATTTAATTGCTCTTGATTTAACTATAAATGTTGTACTATGTGAGGTTCAATGGTAGAGAATATCCACTTGTTATTTAAAGAATTTTCAATACCAACAGAAAGATAGGTGATTATACTTAGTGCATAAGCATAAAAGTTTACAGCTATATCTCTTTCATTTATGTAAAGTACTCACCCATAAGCATCAACAATTTCTTGAAAAGCAGAAGTAAATTTGTTTGTCTGGAAGTAAGTAGGTGGAGATTCTTTTGTATGGAGAACCTGGAAAATGGAACCGACTTGGGAGTTGCTATCATATGTAGCTCGCTGCAATGCATCTTGAATCTGTGATAAAGAGCCTGATTTAAAGATTATGCCTCACAAAAAACCATACAGAACTTAAAATTTTGTCTATATCATGTATAGATAAATGCAAAAAGATAGAAATTAGGATGAAATACCTGACTTGTTGCAAAAACAGGGCTCCAACCCTCAGCAACTAAACATTTCTTTGTCACATCAAGGCTGAGCATGTTTAGAGTGTGATAAATAGCTTTCTCTGTCCTTACCTGGAATAGTTTACATATCGGATGTCAACGATTTTCATTACAGTGCACAAGGAAATCCCACTATGGAATGTTTTCTGACAATTTCTCTAAATAGCAGATTAAGGTGATGGGTGGGAGTTTATTCTGTATTATAACAAACATAAAATAAAAGTTTCTCACTCAGTTGTAAAAAAATAAAAAGATGACCCAGTTAATGAGGATTCCACCTATCTGGGATCTAGAAAAGGTCACTTTAAGCAGCCTTATCCCTGCAGGCAGGAAGCCTATTTCCATAATCTAAACCCTGGTCATTCAAGCTTATAAAGGATATATATACCTTATCATGGTGGTAAGGTTCAGCACTGTCTCTTACTAATTTAGTGACAAATTAAAAAAGAGAAGTTACATACTAACCAAGTTATTCCACTGCTCAAATTGATAGCTAATATTTTTCAGTATGTTATCACGATGAAGCATCCCAAGATCTATAGTTGTCTTCAGCTCAGTGATTTTCCCAGAAACCTGAATAAAAAAAAGCTTCATGTTAAGCTGAAACTGTATGAGTCTGATTGCTAGTGACACAAAAGAGCAGTAGAAATTCCAGCAAGCATATGACAACTGAGGATAGTTACAGACATCATCAGCTTTCAAAAAGATTATGTAGAATATTTGCAAGAAAGCAGTTTTGCTATCAACTGAACCTGTAAAAATTTAAAAAAAAATTAACATAACTTTATCATATATAACGAATACAACAGATTTAGAAATTAGAAATGCCAACGAGCATTAAAACATCCTGTAATTCAAAAAAATTAAGGCCTAGAAATTTACAAATCAACGTAAGAAAGTAAAAAAGAAGAGTTCATAAAGTATGATTCTGATGTAACTATTGTTCCTGTTGTGAATCTTCATGGAAACAGATAACCCATTAGTTCTGTCATCTATGACATATTAGTTAGCAGACTGATGCATTGTATGCTATGCACAATGTTTAAAACCAACTTTAATTGTCAGTTCAAGAAACTCACAAGAAATATTTACATGTATACATGTCACTTTCAAGCAGAGCATCAGAAATAATATCTATCTATATAATTAAAGACAATTACCACGTACAATATGGAATATCAAAATCTGTCAAGATACCAGTAAGGACAGCAAGTGGTCAGGATAATACAAATACTGTTCATAATTAGATGACTGATAAAACATGGCGCCAATGCCACATTCTGCATAGAAAAGTAGGTTAGTAAACTTCCGGACTTAACTTTACGTGACAAACACTCCACATTTTGATCAGTAGTAGGCCTTGGACCCAACCGTAGAACAACTTTACAAGAAATTCAGAATGTAAGAGCAATTAAGATCATTAAAATCACATACCATCTTGCCTACCAGTCCTACAAAAAATTCTTGATTCCAGTATTCTAGACCGTATATCCATGTCAGCAGCAATCAAAATCAAAATTGTAATTAACATCACAAAATGATAAAGCAATTTTATTAAACAATGTTTAAGGGAAAAGCAATGTCAAAGAAGAAAAGACAAAGAAAACGTATCAAAGAAATAGACAATGCCATGCACGTTAGGGCTCCACATGAAGTAGACTTCATAATTTATTGAAGAGAAATAAATGCATAGAGAACTTAATATCATAGAGTGAGACACTACACTGGAATTTAGCATAAAATACAGTACGTTGATCAGATGCAAACCTCAGATATCATCTGCATTTGTTTTCCTATGTCATCTGTAAATGGATATCGATTTGCTCCGAAAGCCTCACATATCTTTAGAATTTTGGTCTTTGCTCTTTCCCCAGAGTAGAAGACAACAAATACATTTTTGGCAATCTGCAGACCAGAAGCATGAGAAAACATATAGGCACATATTGATGATATTTAAGTGAAGTTCATCAAATAACCATGTTAGATAAGTCATGTTTAAGTTCCATCACCTATAAGTATTTGCTGATCAATTATTAATAGGCCAACAGAACTCTAATTAATTTGGGAAAGACAATCTGCATTCTTCAGTATTATTCTTAGACTTTCTGTGATGAGGCTGACCTTTTCTCCTGAAATTGGGTCAATAACAGGATCATCAACTGCAGCTTGTCTTAGATACATGTTGCCCCTAGTAGCACGAAACAAAATTCTTTCAAAAGCCATTGCCTTCTCCTTGGGCACAAGTCCACTAACAAAGCCAAGCTTTACTTGCTTTGCTGGATCTGTAAGCATCTCCTGAGCAATAATATTTCGAGGAGTTACTTACTATTTCAAAAACCAAAGAGCAAATCACAGGAAGATGAGTCATAATACTTGTTCCAACAACAAAGGGCTATCAAGAGAACCATCTCCAGTTTGACGTGCCTCGATTTCTCTTTGCTGGGCTGTAGCACTACTTTGGGCTGAGTAGAAAAACTCACCAGCCTGAAAATAAGGCATATAATGCATTTGAGAAAGTTAAAAAGTCAATTTGCTAGTAAGTTTTAACAGGAAACCACTGGGAATCCAGATTCAAAAGATGAAGATGTAAGGGAAAATTTCCATAAATGCAACCATTTTGCACATCTTTAATGAATGATTGCATTTTCAAACATCAAACACCAAATGGAAATAACATCATTAGTTTATCTTCTCTTTTTAAATTAGCTATATCAAGAAATTGGAGAATCTCATAAGATCCTACATACAGCATAAGTTCATTACCAGATAAACATAATGAAATGTGTACACAGAACACATCATTGTATTCTCACCAAATCATAACCAGAGCAGTACCGTTGAATTCTTTTCCACGTATTCAAACAAGCCATTCATCTTTAAATGAAACCCTTGCCAAACATATTCATCAAATGAAAGAGTTTGATACACTCTGTCATTCTTCACCAATATGCAATGAAAAAATGCACACCTTCAATTATACTACTCTGTGGCATAGCATGTCCACTTTAAATTATAGTATCAAAGTAATCAAACTACCTTATCAACTAAAATTCAATGAGCCCCTTTCAACTTTCAAGTGTTCAATAAAGAAATTTATAACATAAGAGAACGAGGAATAGGAACTTTAAGGACACCAAATGTTGATTGCCTTTGCTAATAAGATATCTGACTCAACTTTGTTCATGCTCTGAAATTAAGCTATAAACAAAGGCAAAGATACTGATAGCCTCTGAAAATTATTTTATAGTGCCTGTACAGGCAAAACATGCAGATCAAGCAAGGACCCAGAGATCATCCAATTCATTTGATTGTGATCCAACCAGTCAATTATCTCGGTATATTGTTCAAGGCTTCAAGCTGCCCAAAATAATTGCATTAAACAAAATTCAAAAAAGTGTGTATCCCTGACAATGATTCAACCACACAATTTAGTTAAAAAAATAAAAAGGTCATCCGCCATGACTTTTTCTGAGAAATCACATTGCTTGTCTCTTCTTACTCCAGGTAGCATGCGTGGGTCATGAAAAGGATAATAAGGCCTTTGCTTGTAACCTTTGCCTACGGCAGCTATTAGAAGGTTACAAGTTTGTAGAGCACTTTTTTGCTTTCATGGCTATTTTTCTATAGTTTTACTATTTTTCTGTCAATTGCTGCCAGCAGCGGTAAGCTGGACAGGAACCAGCCTGAGACGGGAGTGCTACAAGTCCAATACTTCAATTATAATTTGTCATGCAGGGCATCGATTGGTAACCATCAGAAAAGACAAATAGAAGAAAAACTATGAGAATCTTCACTTCTCCACTTCTCCTCTGCTTCTGTTCTAACCCTTGCTGCGTTTTCACTAAATCCTATCTGTGCTCTTCTTCTCCTTATTACTTTATTAATCACTGCAATCCCATCAAACTCAAGCCGAGAAAGAAGCTACAAAAACACTGGTTCAAAGAGCCAAAAAATCATAATTAAACACATGCAGAATGATGTTCCGTATTACTACCTGAACGCATACAGCCCACATGCTAGTCTCCCATTTGCCCCCATATGATGCAAACTTCCTTTATTTATCTTTTAATTGTCATCATGCAGATGGACTTTAGAATTTTAATGTAGTATTGATAAATCCATGTCAGAACAAGCTGATATTAGTGCAATAGTGAAACTTAAGTGACAATCACCAAAGTTTACTTAGATTTTGTGCATGAATGACAAGAACATCAAATGAAGAACATAAGGGTACCAAAAGAGCACATTGACACAAGGATTGCAATGGGTATTGTGTAACTTTTGGCACAGTACAAGTGAAAGAAATCTTTACCTTTTTGAGAACTAACATGTACTCCAGTAATTCATTATAAGATCTTTGCAGCTTCTCATTGTTTGAATTAACTTCAATTAGCTCAGCCTCAAGTTCTCCGAGTTTTATCTGTAACAAGTAAGAAAGCTCAATGCAAAGGATAGAATTTACATGTCAAACGAAAGAAAAGAAACAAATAGCACTTAATCGACAACATATTTACCTCCATTTCATCAAAATCAATACGAGTTTGTGTCATTGCCATTTCTGAATGTGATATACCTGCCTTTGCCATTTGTTCTTTAAACAATCTTAACTTCCGTGCCATTTCACCACATCTTTTGATCTGAAAAACAAGTAAACTCTAGTAATGACAATACAACAACAACAATTACAAGTAGCTAAAGCTATAATGTCCAAGCATAAACTTAACCATGTCAAAGCATAGACTCAGAAAAACAGTCCAACACTTCCAAAACTTTATTGGTTCTGATGCAACTATGCAGATGTCATAAAAGAAATAATATTTTGAACTTTAGAATATGCACTTCAGTAGTTGTAGTTAGAGGTAGAAAACTGACTTATCATTTAAAAATGCCCACATCACTCTCTTGAAAAGAATATCGGCAGCATCAGAAGGGTAAGTGGCATAGATGAGTACCATGTGAAACAAAAAAAATAAATATGCACCTATACCATTGAATTGACAATGGTTCAAAACTTTTGATTGGAAGATGCATTACGTAAATGTCATAGTCATACCCAAGTTAGTCTCCCATGAAAATTTTCCACAAATGACATGGGTTCCATTCCATTCATATTCAAATGCAAAAAATTTAATAACATCCCAATGTTAAATTTACATATAATGACATGAAAAAAGGTGCTATTTGGCTAAATTCTAAACATAATATACTGTCTTGTTCTCATTCTCCTGTTCTGGTTTGCTTCAAAGTCTTCCTATCCATAAAATATCATGAGATCACGAAACTTAGTGCCAAGGCAAGGTTACTCATTCATAACCCAAATATAGCCTCTTTATTTGTCCGGGTAAAGTTGCATATATTAACTCTCTCTGAACATAGTATCGGCGAAACCTTGTATGCTAGGACATACCTTTTCAATCCAAGAAACACCATAAGTTTGGGTTAGTGTCTTGCTTATTTGTTGGTGATATATCCAATTCCAAATTCTCCTTAGATCCTATTGGAACATGTACCCATCGTGTATCCATTTTTGTACCTGTATCTTCTAGAATCAATCATGAGAATGGAATTTGAATCCATTTCATATCGTTTTCAAATTCATATCAACTGATTAAAAGTGGGAAGGATATAAATTTTCAATTTTCAACATCCAATCTTGAAATGAACCATTTCCAACCCTAGTGGCAGACTAGGACAGACACAGGAAGCAAGCAGAACCCTTTTTCCAACATCAGACAAAAACATAGTGCTGATCAGAAGTTTATGAGATCTTTTGGTTCATATCAGAAGCCGGATATATCATAAGGTTTGATGTACCGAAGCATACCGCTCGATACGGGTGGTACGTACCAATCCGACAAAGGACCGATATGAGGGGTACATCAGTACACCCCAATGTATTGTGTGTTGGTATGTTCGGTAAAGCTTAGTACATACCATACCAACAGCTGGTCGGTACACCGGTACGGACCAGTAATGCGAACCACGATCGTAAGTATAAAATATAAAGCACTATAACATTTCCAACCATAAAATCAACTGGGCGAACTATAAAAGGGTTTCTTATTGAAGCAAAGAACATATATCGGTAACATTCTAATACTACAACATAATTTAACACGAGTGGCTTGCCACTTGACTGCAAAAGTTTGAGCAAGAAAAAATCATGAAGCTGGAGAACATAATCAGATTCATATATGAACTCTAAGTAGTTCTTTTATACAAGGATTTTATAACTCATGCAGAAGCCTTTAAGTATGAAAACAAACACACCCAAATAAGTACACAAACTCAAATAATAACCAAGAAAACTCCAAACTGATGAAAAAGAATTACACAATATGAGATCTACAAAGAAAATCCTGATGATAACTAAAAGAAATGACAGTACCTGGTTAGCATATGTCCGCTGGAAAGGACTTTTATCTGCATTAAGCTGAAATAGTTTCATATTAGATAAAAAAAAATTAAAATTTTGCATATATGTGATGAAAAATAAAACTTTAAATTGTTAATAGTCCATGACATAAATGTCTCATGCTTTAGAGAAGTATAAACTCCCAAATATCTAGAAATTATGGCTTCTTGTTGTTATACTTTTGAAAAGTTTCAATTTTAGAGTCTAAATTAGCAAAGTTTCATATTGTTGATTAAAAATCATGGAAGAAACTAAAAAGAAAATAATTGTTGTAAATTATCAAAAATATATGTTTTGTTTGTGTCGCATACTGGTGCATTTTTTATAGCTTAAACTAAATTTAGAAATATAGATGAAATTCCAGTATATATGTAAATTGTATCTTGCAAGAATGCTACATACTTATCAATCAAAAAGTACTTTGGGAAATGAATTATAATCTTACAAGATAGTAAATGTATGACTGCTAGGAGGACTCTGCTAAACTTAAAAAAATAAAAAATAAAAGAATTTCATAGTCAACTGAAATAGTTTTTTCTTGTCTTAGAGAGTAGAGACTTGTGCAAGGAAATATGGTGCTCAACAGAAAGAGGGGCGGAAAGCACCAAAGTTTGTAGCATAAACAATATTAGCAAATTTCGCTGAAAAGCAAAGTCTGAAATAAATGGAGTGGCAAAGTAATGACACACAAATATAGACCAACTTATTTTCCAGCATCATAATTAAATCGTTTTGAATAAAGATGGATGAAAAGAATCTAGTTTAGAGAGAACTGCAGGTTCATGGATGTAAACCAAGATAATGTCAGGATAAAAAGATACAACAGAAGAGTCTTTTAATTAAGAAAGATGCGATTGCATTGTTCAATATACTCAATTCTGGTATAATTAATAAGCCTGGGTCAAAACCTTCCAGTTTGTATCAGCAAAAGAAATCATCCTTAGGGCGAGGGTACATATGTCGTGGCAATCTGGGACAGATAGGCTTTTGTCACACATCCTGAAGCAATTGATTCTTTGACAAATAGTTATTTTCCAGACATGCGAAGCAACACATGTAGTAACTCAAAGTAATTTCAAGAAAATGGATGAAAAGACACGTTTCTAAGATGCCCCAAAGATCAGATCAGCTGGACCTTCGGAGGATCCAATTGCCAACATACGATCGTTCATCCAGGGGTCACCGAGTCAAACACGAAAGAATCTGGAAAAAGGGATGTCAGGAGGAGGAAAATTCAACGATTATTTACTTTCAGGTATAATTATTCAAGATTTGCCGTCGCTCACAGCGGAGAACGCATACCCCCGACAGAATCAGAGAGGCAATCAGAGATCGGATCATTCATTATTCGGCAGCGAACAGACGAGAACCAAAGAACAACCGGGAATTGAACCAGGAAAAGCGTTAAAGATCCGGCATACATCTTTGAATTGGAAAAGGCCGAGGTCGCCGAGGTAGGAGAGGGTAAGGTGGGCGGACTCGACGGGGACGATGATCCGAACCAGCTGCATCGCCTCCGACCGCATCAGATCCATCGGCGGGCAGCACCCGCCTCGGTCCCGCCGCACGTTGAGCCCACGGTAGTCCCCCATTCCTCCCACCCCTCTCTCTCTCTCTCTCTCTTCTCTCTCTCTGCCCTTGGATCGATGGGAATCGATCGCCCCTCCAGACAACCCCCAACAAACTAGGGTTGTAAAATGTGCAGGAACCGTCGAACCGCCTCACGATAGATAGATAGATCGCGATGCCTCTCCTCCAATCCAATGAGAAAAAGAAGAAAACATAATGTCAACAAAATTACACATATATCCCTCATCGCTCTAAATTTTGGTATAGCAAATATATCCTCCACATTTGATAGTTAGTTTAATTATTTTTTTAATATATTTTAAATTTTTCTTTATTTTCTAAATATAAACTATATAATTTGGCATAATTAACTAAAGGTTTACAACTTCAAAACAATAAATTTGTGATGCTAATAATAAAGGAATGAGTCAATCATTCACAACAAAATAGGTGGTTGATATACTTAGAACCTAGGTGGGAAGTCATTAATCTCTTTAGAAATTATTATTTTGACTTTTTAAAGAACATTAAAATATCTTATGATTATATATATATAAACAAATAAGGTGGCGAATTAGTTGGCAGCCTATGCAAGAAAGGCTAAGGTGTATAAGATTTGAAAGGATGAACGAACGCCGTAGTTGTACAACACCAAGTCTACTTTTGAATTATACTCTTGAAAATATATAAATATATAGAAGAAAGAATATAGAGTGGGGGTAATTATGTCATTTCATAATTTTTGAGAATAGAAATTGGAAAAATCTCATCTAATTTAGATGCATTACAAAATAGAGAAACGCGTGTCACGTGCTGTCGTCTCCACGACTATTGTTTAGCATCCGGTGATCTGATCTGGAGGTGGTTAAATGATTTTTCAAAGCTTTTTTCGGATGATGACGTGGAGAGTGCTGATTGGGTTGCGTGGCATAAGAGCCGGATGACAGCCAACCTTAGCATACGTGTCGAAATATGAGGCGAGACTGTCGAGGCTCGCACCGGCATCAAACCATCTCGAAGTCTTTCCGTTATACACACCCGTGAATCTGACGCAAAGCTGTGACTCAGCCGTTGGATTTCGAACAGATGGCCGATTCCATGTATTCTTTTTCTATCGAAACCCATCTCATACCTAATTGAGTATTTTATATTGGATTTCGAACAGATAGCCGATTCTTTTTATCTAATCATTAAATATTTTATATTATATAGAGTTATATAATAGCATTTGTTATTCTAATTATATCATTATTTGAGAAGAAAATTATTATGATATATCGTAAAATATCTTTACTGACTTTGAATATGATCATATCAAATCCTAATATAAAATTTTATAATTATAAAACTTAATCAGTGACTTCAAAGCATGTCACCAAATCATCTTCTATTATTAATAATATAATATATTTTTTTAGAAATTATCCCTCCAATTGATATAGATATAAATCGTAAAGTCGATTTATTGTTATCGAAATAATTTATAAAATTAATACCCAAAAAATATCATCATTTCAAGCTAATCTATGTGAGCATATAATCCTTCGTCCCTTCCAGATATCTTATTATTTTTTTTATAGTCTTTTAGTAATTTAATTTCTATGTAACTCTAGTTTTTTACCCAATATTTTAACTATAAAATTGATATTTGATATAGTATAAGTTTGAGCATATAATTGACTTTCAACTCTGCATATATAAATAATATTTTTCTTTATTTGATTCTTTATCAAGTTATTTAAAAAATACTTATTTTGATTAAAATTTTTATTTTTATCACAAAGTTATATATTACATCTCTCTAATACTCAATTAATATATTCTTTCTGAGATAGTCTTTAAGATCTATTGTTGAATATCTCAATGCTAATAATATAAGATGTTTCATTCATATCAACTATTTTAAAATTCTATGTGAGAAATTTTTGGTTTAGTATAATAAATCAAGATTACTATTGGTAAGTAAAATATTATTCATATATAAGACAGATATAATAAACTTTCACTGATCTTTATATATAAATACTGATCAATAGTATTTTTTTTTAACTAGAAGAAGTAACGATATTAAGAAATTTTATATATCATTGTCCGTATGCCTGTTTAAGGTCATAAATAAATTTTCTAAATTTGTATATTAAATTTGTATATTTTTTTAATTTTCTTGAATCGTTTAGGTTAACCTATATAAATCTATATCCCAAAAAAAACTTGTTTTCACATACTTATGATATAACTCAAAATTATTATGAGTCACTAATGTTATGATAATTCTTAGCGAGTTCATTTAGAAAAACTAAAGAAGATATATCGTTATGGTCGATTCATTCTTTATGAGTAAAATCTTTGATCATAAGTCTGACCATTATATCATTTGATGTTATCCTTTAAGTGATATTTATATAATAATTTTTTTTATAATTATTAAATAATTTAATGAGTTTTTAGATACTATTTCAGTCATTGATTTTAACTCTTCTCTTATTGCATTATATCACTTTTCAAAATCACTAATTTTAATAATTTATGAAAATAATAAAAGTTTATTTTGATTCCTATATCATAATATATTTTTTATAGATATATCACATAATAATCACGAATGACAAGTTTCTTTCCCTTTGAGATATTCTCAAAACTATCGATTGTAGTTATTCTATAAGATTATTAGCGATAATATTGTGAGAGTTCATTAATGTTATTTTGTTATTCATTTTTATCAAATTATTTAATAATTTAGATAATAATAATCTCTTGAATGATAAAGGAGTAAAAAATTAAAATTTGATATTATTGTCACTATTATTGATTCGCTATTTTTTAGGAATCTCGTATTACTAGATTTAACCATCTTCTTACTATAATTAGGATAATTAAATGTATACCCCTTTGACTTTTTTGATAAATAATAAAAATATTTAAAAATAATCCCTGAATCTAATTTCTTTTCCTGTGAATTAAATACCCAAATCTCTATAAGGAAAATTCTAAATATATAAATATCTTAAGTTGGATTTCCTATCAACTCATAACTCAATAAAAGTTAATCGAATTAACTTACTAATAATTCTATTAAAGATATACATAATCATCCTTAGAACTTCTCCTTATGTTGATTAAGATATAGAAGAATAACTCATCATACTCCTAATCATATCTATAAGAGTACGATTTCATCTTTTAGTCATTCTATTATGTTGTGACACATTTGGTAAATCATATTAAATACAAATACCTTATTTTTTAAAGAATCGAATGAAAGAACAGGAATTATGATTGGATTCATCATAATTATCATAAAATTTAACACCCTAATCATATTTGATACTTTTATTTTTTTTATATAATTATCTCTTGATTTTATTTATGTACACTTAGATATGTCAATTGCTTGAAACCTTACATAAATTAAATATATATAGTTATCTCTTATTACGTTATCTATAAAAGTGATAAAATATTTCTCTTTATATAAACATAAACATAGAGTGATCCACAAATATAACCATATAATCTCAGAAGCTATATTTCATCCCAATATTTATTTACAGAATTATTATAAACTCAAAATTCATATTAATTTTGCATGGACTATCATATAAAATTCAAATATTAATTTTTATTGAATCATACTGAGTTTCGATCACTAAGAGATATAATATTATGACAATTTTAGATAAAGAACCTAAATTTTTAGAATCATAAGAACATATATCCTCAAGATTCATTAAATGAATCATTGTAGGTGTAGGTGATAAGTACTAACTACTATTGATTTGGGTTTAAAATAATTCCTGGTAACGATAAATATTTCATTCTTTTTTGGTTTTCATATAAAATGAATCTATATTATTGATAACATATATTAAGACATCAAAATCAATCCACCAAGTATTAGAAAAGAATTTATATAATATTTTATTTGAAACATACAAGGTTAGAATAATATATTTTCCTTTTAAACCAAACTTTATAATTCTTATAACAGAGATAGCACTTTATTGTGAATATTTTCTTTTTATGAGTTTATATAATATTTATAAACTCATATGATTTATGCTTCAATTTTTTTTTATTGTTACCCACTCATTAAGTAGTACCCAAAATATTATGAGTTTTTCATACTTTAATCTTAATTCTTTCTAAACATATATACTAATTAGCTCATTAAAATTTTATTTATCCTTAATTTTATTATAATAAATTTTAAATGAGCAAAACTAAGAAGAAATAAAATTAAAAGTAAATTATATGAAAAAGTACTCAACTATATTCACACTCAATATTCTTGAGCTTATAGTTTTGTCAACCATATTAAGGATATACTCTTGAATTTTTCAAATACCATCGTACTAAATTTTAGTTAGTTCTTTCGTTAATATATCAGCTAATAACTTGTTAGTAAATTTAAATTAATCTTTAAAATATTTTATTATACTAATTATAAATTGTAATGAAGTCTAAATACTATTACCAATTATTATAAAAGTAAGTCTTTTAGATTTTTCCTGATCAGTTATCATAATTATTTATTTTATAGAACTTACAGTAAGTCTGTAATCCTTTTAACTAATCTAATCAGGGTCTAAC